CCTCCCGCTTTAATGTTTTAAATGCATCGAAATTTTGTATTTTCGGAAGTGGGTCTGTTGTACATGGACATATTTTGTTTAGCGCATAATCGGTTACTTATGTACATACATAATGTGACACATAATCATATGCATTCGTTTCACAATTTGATTCAAGGTGGTTGGATCTTAGTCTGCCGCAGCCATGCAAGTGTTAGAAATACACAGGACATGCCATGGACTTTTATAAATCACCCTATAATAAGAAGTGTTTATGACGTAGCTTTGTATTATCACACGATAATGTAAACCTCTAAATTGAAGCAATACTGAAGCAATAAACCACAGCCGTGACAGGTGTATCGCGTTATTTTTGCACAATTCAATACATACACACGAGCGTCAAAATCGGTGGTGGTTTATTGAAATTATATTATATTGTATTTTAAATGTAATTCTAAATAATTTAATGCATCAAAAAAACATCTACAAATACGATGCAGCACCCGGAACGTTCTACGCGCAACCATTGTAAAATAAAAATGGGCACTAAAACTATCCGAAATTTATTCGACCCCGTCCAATAGTACCTACCCTTACCGAAATACCGGACTAGTATCATTCATGTTTTCGACAGGTCTGAAACATGTCTGGTTACTTCGTCTTAGACGTACTTTAGATGTGTCCCATACTTTATCTACTAGTTTGAAACTTGTATAATTTCGGACCACTGCTACGGGAACTTTTGGGAATGAATGCATTTCCTACAGAAACACAAAGTTAGGACATGTTTGAGACATGTTTGGAGCTTGATTGGGACATTTTATATAAAAATATCTGGAACATGTTCCAGACACATTTAAAACATTAATACAATAATTAGTCACAATGAACAAAGACACTCTGTCATCAGTGTGCAGATTCAGCATTATTCACAACAAGATGTTCACAATACATGTAATCATGTGACAAAACTCAATAAAATAACAATCGAATTAATGAAAATCATATTTATACACTGTAGAATGCATTGTGTACCCCAATCCAATAGTACCTAGTTCTTATTGTCTCCTATGTACCTCTGTTCAATAGTAACTTTTTTATTGTCCCCTGTGTACTCCATCCAATATTACCTATTATTGTCCATTTCCAATATTGCCTAGTTCTTAATGTCTCCTGTGCTCCCCGTCCAACATTACCTAGAGCTTATTATGCAGCCCGTTAAATATTTCGCCTACTTACTTTTTTAGTTATTCATTATTAACTTTATTACATTTTAAACACCAAATTAGAAATGTAAAATTTTCTACACGGTTGTAATAAAGCTGTTATCCTATCCTATTGATCCCTGTGCACCAAGTCTAATGTTACTTAGTTATTAATGTCCCCTATCCAATATTACCTAGTTCTTATTGTCCCCCGTTTACCTCCATTCCCATCTAATAGAAACTAATTCTTATTTTTACCTATGCAACCCGTTCAATATTACCTAGTTCTTATTGTCCCCCGTGTACCCCCATTCCCATCTAATAGAAACTAATTCTTATTTTTACCTATGCAGCCCGTTAAATATTACCTAGTTCTTATTGTCCCCTATGTACCCCGTCCAATATTATCTATTTTTATTGTCCATTGTACCCCTGTCCAATATTACCTAGTTCTTAATGTCCCTATGTACCCCGTCCAATAGTACCTAGATCTTATTGTCCCATGTGCACCCTGTCCTATATTATCTAGTTCTTATTGGCCCCTGTCCTATATTACCTACCGGTAGTTCATATTGTCCCGTGAACCCAGTCATATATTACCTTGTTCTTATAATAACCTGTGCACCCGTCCAATAGTACCAAGTTCTTATTGTATCCTGTGCACCCATTCCAATAGTACATAGTTCTTATTGTACCCTGTGCACTCAGTCCAATAGTACCTAGTTCTTATTGTACTCTGTGCACCCGTCCAATATTACCTAGTTTTTATCATATCCTGTGTACCTGTCCAATATTACCTAGTTCTTATTGTACCTTGTGCACCCATTCCAATAGTACATAGTTCTTATTGTACCCTGTGCACTCAGTCCAATAGTACCTAGTTCTTATTGTACTCTGTGCACCCGTCCAATATTACCTAGATTTTATCATATCCTATGTACCCCGTCCAATATTACATAGTTCTTATTGTACCCTGTCTAATATTACCTAGTTCTTAATGTACTCTGTGTACCCATCCAATAGTACATAGTTCTTATTGTCCCCTGTCCAATATAACCTAGCTCTTAATGTACTCTGTGCACCCCGTTCAATTTTACCTAGTTCTTATTGTACCCTGTGCACCCGTCCAATATTACCTAGTTTTTATCATATCCTGTGTACCTGTCCAATATTACCTAGTTCTTATTGTACCTTGTGCACCCTGTCCAATAGTACCTAGTTTTATTGTACCATGTGCACCCGCCCAATATTACCTAGTTCTTATCATACCCTGTGTATCTGTCCAATATTATCTAGTTCTTATTGTACTCTGTGCAATATTACCCGGTTCTTATTGTACCCTGTCCAATATTATCTAGTTCTTATTGTACCCTGTCCAATAGTACCTAGTTTTATTGTACCCTGTGCACCTGTCCAATATTACCTAGTTCTTATTGTACCCTGTGCAATAGAACCTAGTTCTTATTGTTCCCTCTGCACCCGTTCAATAGTACTTAGTTCTCATTGTACCCTGTGCATCCATCCATCCAATAGTACCTAGTTCTTATTGTACTCTGTGCACCTGTCCAATAGTACATAGTTCTTACTGTCCGTTATGCACCCCATCCAATATCACCTAGTTTTTATTGTACCCTGTGCACTCCATCTAAAATTGTAGACAATGGAACAGTTGAAATTTCTAATTTTAAATTTATAATGGGGATGTTTTTTATGACGTATTTAGATTGATAAATTGGTAATTTACTAATTTTTTAAATTGGTATTTCATGGTGGTGGGTCCATGATTGAACAGAGTTTGATTCTTGGATGATCTTACTGTACTAACATACTAAAATATGAAAACATATACAATGAGAAACAAAATTAAATCTATCAATTGAATCAGATTTTATCTAACCATGATCTTTCCACAAATTATTCAAAATTTTATCAGAAATCTAAGTTCATGATTTTTTTTCACTCTCTGGTTTGCATACAAATTGCTGTTCAGATTTCAAACTCAGATTTTTGCAAGAATGTGCATACCTCTGTCATCGACAGATATAACTAGCAAAATTTGGTTAACATTTTTGTAACAAGCACAGAGAAATTGACATCACAAAAATTGTATTCAATAATACTAATTATTTTAATTAACAGTATACACAATGAATCAAGCTACAAAAAACAAAAGTTTAAATTAATTGACACTTATCAATAAATTGTTAAAACCAAGAATTATGTGAGAAAGTAAATTATAACTATTATTAGTTTCTCATATAAGAGTGTAATCAGAAAACAATGTACAATTGTAATTTCTAACACTGTATGCAGTGGTATCATTCAGAAGATTACTATAGAACATATGTTGAAATAGCTGCATGCAATTTTAGAAGATTTGATTCTTGACATGAATTAACAGAATCTTAAATTAGCTAAAGTGTTGACTATCTCCCTGTGAGAATAGACTTAAATTAGCTGCATCTTGAATTAGCGAATTTACAGATTAGCTAAAATAACATGCTAGCTAAAAAGACAGTAGTTTAAACATGTCTCAGTCACAAGTTGTGAAAGCAGTGACTATGGTTGAGAGTTACCTGAGTAGTAAAGTTAGGTGACTGACGGGTGGTGATGTGAACTTTATTGTTCATGCAATGTACATCTATTGATATTTGCAAATATTAAAGGGAAAATGTGCTAATAAAAATATTGTGGATATCAGCGAATATATAACATATGTTGGTTTCCATAGCAATTTACTCTGCTTTGATGTGTCCGGAAGTTTCAGAACTTCTGGTCAGTTGATCTTTATGCAAATATTACATACATTGTTCATCTGTTACAATTTCAGTATGCAAATTATATGAAAACAATGGCTCCAAATTCAAAAAAGTCAATGCGTATAGCATTCATGCATTGCATAATCAACGCTTTCAGACTTTGTATATTCCACTTGACAATAGGGGTGTGGTCTCCTTTTCCCAATATATATTTCAAGCAGAATTACTGACATGAGTTTTTCTTTGTGCTCTGGACATGGGAGCCAAAAATAAAAATAAAGTCATCACAACAATAATAGAAAAGGTAAAAGAACTATTTTAAGTTGTATTCCGATTATTTTATGCAGAACACCTCCAAATGATTTTGATCACCATGAAAAATAATTAATTTGGCAATAAATCTTTTAGCATAGACTGAACCATGGAAGGTAGTAGGGTACCTTCTATGTCTGCACTGAATGTCTTGTTGTTTAATACCAAATCAAACATACCAGTACATTTTATTATTGTAATCAATCAAAAACACTTTAGGATTTTTAGGAGTGTAAGTTTTATGCAGATCTACAGAATGGAAATGAAACTTCAACTTCAAAAAAGTTAGGAAAAATTCTCACACTAATAAGTCACACACATATAGACAATTGAAAGACAACGTATCTTTAAAAAAATGATTTAGAAGTAGTAAAAAATCCAATAATGAGAATAAGCTCACATATACTGAATAGAAACAGGATATAGAATTACAAGACAAATATGTGAAACCAACAAGTTGAGAACAAACAGAATCTCTTATTCCAATATAAAGGTTACTCTGCCCTCAAATTTTAACAAAGTTCCAAAGGATTATGCACATGTCAAAAAATACATAAAAGATGGAAATATATGGTCAATCAAATAATTGCCAGTCTGTGTCAGCAACATTGTGTGCATTATCCAATAGACACTGACTATGAGATCATTGTCACTTTAATCACTGTTGGCACAATCTACAATGGTGTAACCTTTCTAGTGACAATATTGTATGGAGCTGTTGAGTCCTAGTATTTGGTACCATTGTTGAACTAATATCACAAACATTGGAATCACTTTAAAGCATACAATGACCAAAAATGCACCACAAATGTGGGTATCTTCCTTGAAGTATGTGTATTGTAGTATCTGCTTTTTTAGAAGCATGTAATGCCAAAAATGACATTTATTGTATACTAAATCATAGAAATATTACTTATTTTGACCAGAGAAACATTTCTGAAATTTACTTAATCGTATGATCCACTAATAGAGCAAATATGGCATGGTCTATTTGGTGAGTTCAGTATTTCAACAAATACATGCATGCTGAAGATATAAGTATAAAGTGCAGATTATAGATTATTTATTTAGTTATTTTGAGTATTTAATATTGATGATCAATTACATTGAACTGTGCAGTCAGATCATAAGAAACACATACAGCCTTTCAGATGATGAGTTTACTTAGAATGAAAAATTAACTCTGAACATCTCTACACAATCCTCCTCTGTTATTATAATACCTCCATCATCGACTTGATATCTCAGTGGAATTACGCAGTCACTGCCGTTATTCAAATATTCTAAAGAATAAAACGATTCATTCTGTGGATGATATGAATTCATCGTCTCTGTAGTCTTCTCAATCACACGCATACACTGATTACCAGCCAGAAAATTCAGATTTGTGGTTTGACTGTAAATAAACTTAAAAACATCAAGACATAGATGTGACTGACCATCAAAGTCAGATAAATGATTAAAATAATGATCACAATATTCACACCAATACGTATAAGCTTTCTCAGTCATATGGTTATTTATGTCGTCAGTTTGATGCAGTATCTCACACTGTTTGCAGATTGCATCACTTAAATACACAACATTTTTAAAGCAACTGACACAATGATAAAACATTCTATCTGCAGTTGTTTCTGTAAACTGATTCTGAATATCGGTGTGATTTATTCTATTGTCCATGCCATCATGGTTGTATAATACCTCGGTAGGTTGGTTTACTTCACCTTTATTGGTCTGTTCATGATACGGTTTCACTCCTGTATGCAATCTGATATGGTATTTCATTTTATTCAACGAATCAAACTTCTTGTGGCAGAGTTTGCACTCGTATAGCTCCTCCAACGTACGTGTTTTTACATGTAATTTCAATAGTTTACACTCATATAGCATATCATCAGTATGTGTTCTCCTATGTTCCCTCAGTTCACTGGCATTTTGAAAATACTCATTACAACAATTACATGTATATGGTTTCACAACTTTGTGAGTCTCTAGATGTTCGTGTAACCAATCTAACTGAGGGAAACTTTTCTCACAATGTCTACATTGATACAAGTACTTCTTTTCACTCAGATGTACTTTAGTGTGTCTTTTCAGGCACTGCAAATAGGAGAAACTTTTTTCACAAAAGTAACACTGATATGGTTTCTCACCAGTGTGTGTCCTCGAATGTTGGGTCAGAATATTTTCATTAGAAAAACCTTTCCCACATTGTTCACATTGATAGGGTTTAGTATGAGTTTTGACATGTAGTTTTAGATAACTTGAATACGCAAAACGACGCCTACACTGTTGACATTTATAGGGTTTATTACCGGTATGGTCTGTCACATTTACATGCTGCTTCAGAGTATGTGCCTCAGCAAATACTTTGTCACACCTTCCACATTGAAATGGTTTCCCATCAGTTTGTATTGTTTTTGGCAAAGTCAAACTCTCTGCAGTCTTTTCCTGGGGATATAATTTTACGCCTGTATGTACATGCATATGCCGACTTAGAAATTTAAATTCCTCAAAACTTTCCTCACAGTAGTCGCACTGATAGGTTTTCTGACAACTGACAGTTGTATGTTTTCTAATATGATGCTTAAAATTACCTGAATAAGCAAATCTCTTCCCACAGTCCTGACATTCATGTGGTTTATAACCAGTATGTTTTCTCATATGTCGTTTCAGTTTACTTGATTCAGCAAATGCCTTGTCACATAACACACATTGGTATGGCTTCTCACCAGTGTGTGTTCTTATATGGCATTCAAGTTTACTGTAGGAAATAAAACTTTTTTCACATTGTTTACAGTGGAATTTCTTTACTCCAGTGTGGATTTTCAGATGCTGTCTTAAATCGTTGTAGAGAACAAAATTCTCGGCACAGTGTTCACATTGATACGGTTTCTGAACGGTTGTGTGCTGTTTAATGTGCTGTGTGAAATTTCCAGAGTAAGCAAATTTCCTCCCGCATTGCTTACATTCATATGGTTTATCGCCAGTATGTTTTCTCATGTGTCGTTTCAGTTTACTTGATTCAGCAAATGCCTTGTTACATAAGACACATCTATATGGTTTCTCACCAGTGTGTGTTCTTATGTGGCATTCTAATTTACTCATTGTTATAAAACTCTTTCCGCAGTGTTCACAGTGATATGGTTTGATCCCAGTATGAATTTTCAAATGCTGCCTCAGATCTATATAGTACATAAAACTCTCATCACAGTGCTCACATTGATATGCTTTCTGACTAACAGGATGAAGAATAGTACCCTGGGTAATGAATGTGCCTTTATTATCACATCTTTGTATTATTGTTACTGATGATTTCATTAAACTGTTACCGTGATATTGAACACCTAGTTGATTGGTGGGTGTGGTTAATGTGGTGTTATCAGCACTGCTTTGCATTTCTGTTGTTGGTGATTTCACTACGCTGTCACTGCTAAAATGTATGTCTAGTTGATTGGTTGGTGTGACTGGATGGATAACAGTGTCCTCAGTGCTTGAGGCGTTATCAGCACTGCCTTGCATTTCTGTTGTTGGTGATTTCACTTGACTTCTCTGTTATAGTGTATGTGTAATGCACTGGTCGATGTGACAGGTTCACAACTGCTGAACATCAGTAATTCATAACACAAATACCCATCTACCAAGATCCATGCTGGCGTTACAGACACTGGTTATTGGTTCCACCTATTTATGAAGCGAGTGTCAGCAAGATGATACATAAATCCTGAAAGTAGAATAAATCAAAGGAAGCTTAGAAAGAACTCCTGTAGGCTGAAGGTATTGGAATGTATCAGAAGTGAATTAAAATTATTAAAAAGTTAAGACAAGCATATTTAAGAAGAACTTGAAAACACAATGTGAAAGCGTTGCAATCCAAAAAATATGTAATTTTTCACCCATTGCTAGATTTTACGTAATGCTTGAAACATGCAAATCGATCGCCTGCTGTCAAAATCAAATCATTTGATTTTGAACTTGGGTTTCATTATTGAAATGCCTATTTTTCAAAGAGGGATATATCGTTAAGATTTCTTTACAACATTATCAAATTATCAAACATTATCAAATGTGTATAGCACTTTATTAATTAAGAGTGGAAATAGTTGAATCCCATGCAATGATTTGATGTTACTGCAATGCTATGACCTTTGTTCTTTATGTTAGATTTCACATATAAGTGAACGGAAAATGGTCTATTAAAGTTGATAAAATTAACTAGAAATTGAACAAAATCTTTTTAATCTGTAAAGATATCATTCAAGTAGCTTAAAAGCCACTAATCATCATGCAGATTAGATGAAATAATCACATACTTAAATCAACAACCGGTCACTGGTAGCATAGTGGTTGTTGCACCAGACTCATGATGGGTAGACCCAAGTTCAAATCCTACCTTAGGCTGAACATCAAAGGGTCGACCCCTACCCTGGGTGAGTGTGCCACAGACTCAATGGGAAGGCCAATTCCACTGGCCGAGATTCATTCACTAATGAATGCGACTTTGGGGGAACCTTGGTTACCGTAAGGTCCGCAGGTGCTTGTGTACTAATTGCCATTTGACAGAAAGATGGCCACACAGCCCTGTCATGTAGTTCCAAACATGAATATGACTTCTGTGGCAAAATGCACTATGTGTCGTCACTAGCACTTGCAATTTGCACATACAGAAAAAAAGTCAGGAGAGACAACAGTGACACTCAATGTCCGAAACTGTCGCCTGGCACAAAAAAATATTTAAAAAGAAATCAACAACTACCCAGGTGTAGTAGTCTGAGTGTAAACTAACATTTACATGTAGCTAGCTTTGAGCTACATTGCAGAAAATGTCACATGATCACTAAAGTTTTTATTCAGGCAAATACATAACCCGCATACCAATAATGCTACAACAAAAAAAGGTTTGAAATGGCCAGTTTAACTTCAAAGTAACATGTCTGCCAAACCAGTTGACAGAAGAAAACCAGTGTAGACAATTTGATATAATTTTGTTAGTGGCTTTCTCAGACAGAAGAACAAAAATAACAGTGGAAGAAGAAGACAAAAAAAGAAGTGGAAGAAAAATCAGAACAATAACAATAGGGCTCCCTGAGTGAGTGTGCCACAGATTCCGTGGAAAGGCCGAGTAATTACTGAAATTGCATTGATTAATTTGGTTTGGTACTGATAATTAATGTGAACTTATTTTGGCAATTATTCCTAAAGCCAGACTGTAGAATATGGGAGTACAGTTGTATTTAAATGAACAATATGCATATTGAATCCATAATTCAGAAATATAACAGTTATGACGTTAGTTTTGTTTTCTTGCTTTATGTATATAAATATGATATAATGTGCCATGATGTTCTTGTTGTGTGCGAGTGCTCGAGCGTGGTTTTTGTGTATGAACAGTCATAATAACGCCCCGAACCTGTGATAATCACAAATCACAAAAAATACAAAAGATAGTGAACTGATTTTAATCCTCTTTTGGTCTATTGATTTGAGCTAATTATTTTTGTGTATACTATCCTTTCTATCGACACAGATGTTTAAAAAGACTTGTGCCGGATATATTATGATTAATATTGTCAAAATGTGATCACAATGCTGGACAATGCATTACAATCTCAAGACAGTAACAGAAATAAACAACATGAAAATTGCACAAGTTATAACATGTTTTACCATTTTCAACACACAGATAATATACATGTAAATTTTAAACATTTTTTTCATGAATAAGAATGACAATACCATAACATTTTCTGTAGAAACTCATGGTCAAATACAACATTGCTGTTTCACTTTAGCATGTTTTGACATTGACCATGATAATGCAGCATGTTTTGGCATTGACCATGATAATGCAGCATGTTTTGACGTTGACCATGATAATGCAGCATGTTTTGACGTTGACCATGATAATGCAGCATGTTTTGACGTTGACCATGATAATGCAGCATGTTTTGACGTTGACCATGATAATGCAGCATGTTTTGACGTTGACCATGATAATGCAGCATGTTTTGACGTTGACCATGATAATGCAGCATGTTTTGACATTGACCATGATAATGCAGCATGTTTTGACGTTGACCATGATAATGCAGCATGTTTTGACATTGACCATGATAATGCAGCATGTTTTGACGTTGACCATGATAATGCAGCATGTTTTGACGTTGACCATGATAATGCAGCATGTTTTGACGTTGACCATGATAATGCAGCATGTTTTGACGTTGACTATGATAATGCAGCATGTTTTGACGTTGACCATGATAATGCAGCATGTTTTGACGTTGACCATGATAATGCAGTAGCCATAAAAAAAGTATGTTCACACACTATTCTTTCAAAAAAGGTTGAATTCAATCAAAAACATGTGATGCTTATAAATATTCTTACCTAAAAGGTTAGCTTACTTTATGATCTAATACTATTAGCTTGAAAATAAGTAGCAAATATTCATGTCCATTATTAACCTGATAAAGTGTTATCTGTTGGTCAAATATTAGGCAAATGTCACAATAACAATACCATCAAAGATTGTTACTCACTTTAACTTTGTGCAAAAAAACCATTTCTATGATGTTGACATTTTTTTGTTTTCTATCAAATGTACATGTAGGTTATTTTTTCATAAACATTTAATAACTAGAGACCAGCTACTAGTACTTTAGGAAATACAAATTGTTCCTGTATTGTTAGTGTTGGTAATTTTTTATGTTTTCGAAATATAATATTTTATTGTATTTTTCATCAAAACCGGAAATATGGGTTAGAATTATGGATAGCAATAACGGTTCTATTCTACAAAAAAATTATTCTATAATATATTTTAAATTACACAAGAGATTAGAATATTGTATACCAATTCGCTTAATTTTACGAACCACCACCATCATCAGCTGCCTCCTCTTTCTGTTTTCACGCAAGAAGCCTTTAGTTCATCTTTTTCTGTACCCCCCCCCCCCCCCATAATTTCGAATGATCAACTCCGAGAAGATACACGGGTTTATGTTTTTGCAATTAAATTAATCTCAGATCGATTTCGATTACGACAATGAGAAGTTCGTGCTAGTTGTTCATACAACAGTTCTATGTGGAGTGTGTTCCAACCGCTCGTTGTAAGCCGGTTTGTGAGGCTGTGTAACTCACACAACGATTCCAAGAGGTCAGACACGTAAAGCATTCTCGTACGTACATCTTTGTAAACTATTCATTCATTCAGGTGATACAGAATGTTTTAGTATTCAGGTACTTACCTGCAGTGTTCCCTGTTTCGAATGAATCTGTCCACATTTGAAAATTACTCCCGGTCAACAATCGAACGAGTCTTACTGTTGTTCGTCCATTTTGAAATCAATGTACGAATATTGACTGCGTCCTCTAACGTTAAGTATACTAAAACTTTTGTTTTCAGAAATTAATTTACAAGTACCGGTGATTTCCAACTTAAATACGCTCTAAGAATAGAATGGAAAAGAATGGAAAAGAATGGAATGGAATAGAATAGAATAGAATAGAATAGAATAGAATAGAATAGAATAGAACATTAGGCTTAAGTTGTTACATTATTCTTTTCACTGAAATGGTTTCTCATCTGTATGGATTACCATATTTAAACTCATAGTTGCTGTCGACATAGGAAGTAAAGTAAGCAAATAACACCGAATAAACGGCAAGGTAAAGACTATGTCTAATTATAGTAAATACGTACTGCGTGCGTGACTCGAACCGGCGCTCGCGTACGGCACCTAATCGCCTAGCTTCACGCCACTACACGTCTTCCCCTCGGCCACCGGGCATCCCCAAAAAAGGATGCCCAATAACCGAGCTTATTACGTGCAGAGAACGTGAAACCCGTCCACGCGATACGCGCCACACAGCATGGCCAGAATGCGGCAAAGGCCTTCAGATCTGGCTGTAGTAGGATGGTGAAAGTAATGGTACAGCATTTTAACAGTGAATAAGTACTGAGAAATAATTTTTAAACTCATAGTTGCTGTCGACATAGGAAGTAAAGTAAGCAAATAACACCGAAT